CTTCTCAAGAGTTAACAGGAAGCGGGTTTCATGAAGTCTGAAAGGCATCCCATCCCGTCCTCGGATATTTCTCATCTGATACCCACGGTATCTGTTCTACAGTTAGCTGTGCTCTATAGTAACCTGGGCATTTCTTTAAATCATTTATTCCTTTAGCAAATAATTATTACACTTCCAGATGCCTCCAGATGGAAACTCCCTCTGTAGAATGTTCCATGTTCCACTTTAAGTGACCTTTAGGGCTGGTGTTCGGTTCCACTCTCGCCTAAGCATAGGGTTAAACTTCCCGATGCTTACAGCAAGCTTTGAAATACAAAGCAAATGGTTGTTTGCCATACTAGACACGGAAGAAGCAAGGTATTCGTCCTGCATAGGCTTATGAATTTAAAATCCACTGCAGTCTTTAAAAGAGAGAAAAGCCGACATAGAGCTATAATTCATATTTATCCCACCTCTCCCTTTTGAAATCAGTTATTTCATTTTATATTTCATGTAAATATACCCCACAGGTAAATTAAAGGATAAGTGAGGTTTTTGTTTTTTTTTAAAATCCTATTAAAATACCGTTACTTTGAGAAGTTTGTGTCATGTTTTAGATGAGTCCATTAACGTGAGTGAGCCTTCTTCATCTTTCTAAATACTTGTAAAATGCTTCATATATGTATTACTTGCTTACCTGATAGCACTGCTTTCTCAGAAAAAGACGATCAGAGCTCTCTAACTTATTAGAAAAAGGAAAAATCCAGTGAAGACATTTTGTACCTTTTGGAGGGCCAATTAGATTGAATAACTCTCTGGAAGTTGAAAGTCTTATGTGAATGTATCCTAGTATTTACTGTAGCTCAAAAGAAGTCTGGTTCACAGCCAGAGCTTTCTGTCTGAGACCCATTGGGACTTTTGTTTCTCTTTGCAAGGATTGTCTCTCTGGACTTTTATTAGTAACATGCTGAACACCAAGAAAAGACGCCTCACCCAGTGCGGTTTTCTTGGATCATGTCATTTCTCAGGGTGACAGGAATGTAATGTAGGTGAAAGCAGAGTCCTCATTTCCGTATTTTCTAAACGCTGTAGTGATCTGAGAGACATGGCTGAGCTAGAGAAGTAGGATGGACACCACTGAGGTCCAGAATCCTGTAAATGAGGCTTGACTCTTATTTTACAGGGGTTGATCTGGTTGATAAGTTGCACAGTAGAGACGGGCAGTGTATTGCAAGTTTTAGATAGACTTGAATACATCAGATGGTCCTCCGTAAGTTTCTCTTTGAAACTTGCAACTTAAGAATTTTTCTCTCTTGGAAGTGCTTTAAATGTTCACACTTCCCCAGAATAGAATAGAAAAATTAAGACAGAAAGAAACAAAATAAAAATAATGAATGGGGTAAGAGCCACTGTGTTCTGGAATCAAATGTAGGAGGATTCACATTTTCCTGCACACATCTTCAGCTTCCGGTATGGATCTCTTTGGTAACTTAGGGACTTTCAGAAATTCAAATATACGCTGGCAATTTTCCATATAAATTTATTTTTAAGATGCTAAATATCTGAAACCTTTAGACAAATGCAATCAATGTCTATGTTGTTATATCATGTATCAGTCACAGATAAATTCTTTAGCAAAAATTACAAGACATGGTGAGGGCCTTGATCTTTCCCACCAAGGAAACATACATAAAAATAAGCATAAATATAATTCTCATTATTTTCAGTCAGATTTTATACTTTTATACTTCTTTTATAGCTATATAAACTTTACACAGAAGTGTAAACGCAGCATTTTCTCATACAATGTTGTGTCATTAAGTGCTGTGTCTTTGAGAACAAACAAATTGCCTTGTGTGGACTTTATTCTTACTGCCATGCCATGTCCCATCTTCTGAATATATTGTATTCATGTGTAACATTCTCCTCTAAGTGAATACACAGTTCATTTGTAAAGATCACAGACACTAAAATTCTACGAATATTACTGGACCTGTCCCCTGGGCTCATGCATCTGAGTGTTGCTAGAATGGATTTCTAAAAGGAGGAAATGTCGAGTGGCTGAGATCTGTCTTCAGTTCAGCAAACATGACCATGTAGCTTTCTTCTACTAGAAATATGATGGTTTTAGTTCCCGAACTAAATGATTCTCCCCATCATTTAGTGATCTAAGCATTATATCCCCATTATATCAATGTGAAGTGACTATTGGTAAGGTTTTAAACGACATTCTTTCAGTGCTAAGTATGTTATCACAGAGATCCCTGAAAGAACATCCGTTTATAGCACGACAGCTAAAGTTAGAAGGCAGAGTGTCACTTTTTGCAAACTGAGTTGAGAATGTATTTGTCAAGAATATTGAGTTCCCCCCACCCCAGTCCCCTCCACATACTCAGAAATCATCAGACAGCATGGGAAGTTTGCCCTTGAGTACTAAAACCACACTTTAAGCTGAAGGAGCATTAAAGAACTTCAGCGGTTCAGGGCTGAGCCTGGGTTGGCACCTGGAGGTCATAGAGTCAGGGCTTAGTACATTCAATTCTGGCATCTTCAAGAAGGTTTCTGCCCTCTACTCAAATCTATTTTCTGCACATGTTAAGCAGAAAAAATACATTATTCACACTATATTCTCAGTACGTAACAAGAAACCTTAACCCAAAAATCAATCTTTAATAAATAAATAAATAGGGATTATTAGTTTGTACCGCTGTGATGTTACCCAGATTCTGGGGCCAGCATTAAATTCTATCACTTTCATCCACATTCTAGATAATAACAAAGAATATCTTCAGTTGACAAAATAAACTTACAAACAAATCATGTGAGACTCAAAATAGGTATTTTAGAGACATCTTCCTTCCCTCAAGTCATAACATGCACTTGGGGAGACCTACCCTTTATGCACCCAAACAGTTTTTGAGACTTTGTGTGGAATGGAGAAAGAGCACAGCAAAATACATGGTGGTATCCCAGTTACATTAGCCAGGTAAACCATTCGAAGCTGTTTGCAGTGACTCATATTTGAAATCCTAGCACTTAGAAAGCTGAGGCAGGACTAGTAGTCCAAGTTTTCGGACAACCTGGGTTACCTAGTAATTTCAGTCCAGCATGTTATATAGCGTGAGACCCTATCTCATAAGCATAAAGAAAAAGGAAATTATTCCAATGGAATTAAGAAAAGAGAATGTTGCCATTACATGCACTACTTATTTTGGAAGCAAGGTTCATACAATCCCTCCATTCTTGGACTTGGTGGGTCTGTTTGTAGTCAGTTAGATTAACAGATTGTTTTGGGATCACCAAGTTCAGAATCCAGTTCCCTTCTCCAGTCACTAGTTTGTAACCATCCAGGGAAAATAGATTATTAATGACAAATACGATTCGTGCCTAAAAGAGATAATCAAGAAATGTATTACAAACTTCTGCAGCTATTAATTGCTTTCACGTTATCCCTGTTTCCCACATCAATCAGAGAGAATGAATACACACTGAACATTCATACAGCACTGTTGTACCTCCTAAAGACTCCCGGGTACCATCACACCGCTCTCATTGTCAACGAGAAGCCTGGGTATTGGTCCCCTATTTGACCTTAGGCAGTATGATGCAGAAGGCCCCAAACCTACCAAAATGTACCCTTCCAGGACATTCACAGGGCTAATCTGTCACTGTAATGACTCGCTTTAGGCAACCAAGCATCCTTTTACTACTTAGCCATCAGTCATTGTTTGACAGCCAGGTCTGTGGTCTTCATTTAAAAAGAAAAGATTCTCAAGAAACCTTTCATTTTATAAGTGGTAAGCACAGTGAGTACTTGATAGAATTAGGGTACTGAAGGGTTGAATGCTCAGTCCTACCTTTGGGGCTGGCAACTGGGGGACCTTGTTGATGTCATTTCTTTAGACCTTGTTGATGTCATTAGCTTCTTTAGACCTCATTCATCTCTTTTTCCCATTTCTGGGGAAATAATAAGCTCTACTTTAAAGGGGGACCTCACAACACTACATGAAATAAGATGTAAAAATGCTGAATACTATTTATAATTATATGATACAACTCAGCTTATGTACCTGATTCAAAATGAGATGGGATAACATAGGACAAATGGATACCTCTGTGTTAAATCTGCATTAGCCCCATTTAGATGACTCATAAAAACTAGAAGTTAATATATACATGTTAATATATAATATATAATATTATATATATACATACACACACATACGTGTGTGTGTGTGTGTGTGTGTGTGTGTGTGTGTGTGTGAAAAACTGTATTTTCCCAGTATTTCATATTTGATTCTTGTAAGGACAGATGTAAAGTTCTGGGGAAGGAAGAAAAGCTAAGCTTTATTTTACAAACATATTCCAAGCACTGCTCCAGGTCTTTGCAGAACTGACTTAACTAAATGGGAACTGTTATGACCAGTTTTACAAAGAGAGAAGGGCTCTAATATAATGAATGTGTTAATCCCACTTGGTCAGTAACTGGGTCAAGCCCAGGTCTTATTGTCTTCAAAGGTCTTTGTGTTCCACTGCCTTTTGCAAAACACAGTGAGTTGCTTCGGCTCTATTATTTAGCCATGATTAAACAAATGGAACTGCCTTTCTACTTAGCTCCAAACAGATATTGGTCTCCTCAACTGTTTGCCAATGCTGCAGCCGCAACCATTAGTGCTGTTTTCAGAGCAGAGTGCCTCCAATTGCTTTCCATGGAAACACAGTTTCACGGATGCTTGACGCATAAAACATCAGCCATTATTTCCCTCCATGGAGATTCAAAGTAGTTTAACAAATTAAGGACACTGCATAGTCCTAAGCCAAGGCTATTAGTTCAATTTTCTGAAGCTCAGAGTGTCCTCTGATCAGCCAACTCCCTCCCCTCACCAGACAGTTTAAAAAACACCCAGCGAAAACACATTCTGTTTTGGGAAGTATCACTATCTGACCTTCTGGGATCACAACCTCAGACAAACCTTGTACTACTGTACTATTGTATAGGACATAAAACTAGATCACGATTCGCTGCAGAGCCAGAGGAGGAGGGGAGAGGTCCGGAGGACACCAACATGAACAAGTTGAAATCATTGCAGAAGGATAAAGTTCGTCAGTTTATGATCTTCACACAACCTAGTGAAAAAACTGCTGTGAGTTGTCTTTCTCAAAATGACTGGAAGTTAGATGTTGCAACAGATAATTTTTTTCAAAATCCAGAACTTTATATACGGGAGAGTGTCAAAGGATCATTGGTCAGGAAGAAGTTAGAACAACTTTACAATAGATACAAAGATCCTCAGGATGAAAATAAAATTGGCATAGATGGCATACAGCAGTTCTGTGATGATCTGGCCCTCGATCCAGCCAGCATTAGTGTATTGATCATCGCATGGAAGTTCAGGGCAGCCACACAGTGCGAGTTCTCCAAACGGGAGTTCATGGATGGCATGGCAGAATTAGGATGTGACAGCATAGAAAAACTAACGGCCCAAATACCCAAGATGGAACAAGAATTGAAAGAACTAGGACGATTTAAGGATTTTTACCAATTTACTTTTAATTTTGCAAAGAATCCAGGACAAAAAGGATTAGATCTAGAAATGGCCATTGCTTACTGGAACTTAGTGCTTAATGAAAGATTTAAATTCTTAGACTTATGGAATAAATTTTTGTTGGAGCATCATAAACGATCAATACCAAAAGATACGTGGAATCTTCTGTTAGACTTCAGTTCAATGATTGCAGATGACATGTCCAATTATGATGAAGAAGGAGCACGGCCTGTTCTTATTGATGACTTTGTGGAATTTGCGCGCCCTCAAATTGCTGGGACGAAAAGTACAACAGTGTAGCACTAAGGAACCTTCTAGAATGTACATAGTCTGTACAATAAATACAACGGGAAATACACAGTCAATTTCTGCTGGCTAGACCGAACTGAAGATCAATCCTCAAGTTCAGACTGAGGGTTGAGACCAACTTTAAGGATACATCTTGGACCATATCGTACTCATTCTTCTACTGGTGGTTTGGGCTTGTCTTCTAGTCTGGGCCACTCTAGATATTTATAATTCCAACATTGTGGATTTCATCTTATACCTGTGGACCATCTTAGTTTGTCTTCCCATAAGTCATAGAAGCTTGATGGTGATTATTTTGAGGTTTCCATTCTTGCATAAAGCACAATGCTGTCTTCATCAGAAAACAGTCTGGCATAAAAATTAAACATAATAATGAACACCACAAACAATTTATAAAAACTTCTTAAGTCTATGCTTTGGACTAGTTGCAAAGACTATGCTGGTAGCCCTTCAAATGAGAGGGATTTATCTGAGTGTACCGGACCTGGAATGGTGTTTGCTTTGAGGGAATTTAATTTTTCCTGGCAAACTACATGCACTGTTGATGTGAGTGGAATAGCTGATGACACCCACATATGACAGATTTAAGATAACCTGGTGACTACCTGAGACATGTCTGTGTTTCAGACTCTCACAAAGGTTCTACGGAACAGTCTGTGGGTGTCCTACCACCATGGTTGTACACAGTGGTCCTGCAGGGAACTTTATTTAAAAAATATTGTACTGGGATATAATGTTAGATTCCACTCGCATCTGCATCACACAGCACAGAATTGGATCCCATTATGCTTTGAAATGCTTCTATGCCTTTCGAATAAGTTAAACTATTTTGTTTGTTTTGAATGTTTTGGATTGCTATATAATACAATGTTCTAAATTAAAAAAAAACTAGATCACACTGTAACAGAGGCTGTGTCACTGTCAAACTGCAGCTGTTTCCCATGTCATAGGTAGCAAGCAGAGTTCAGTGCGAAGTTTGCCATGTTCTCAACATACCAAGTGTTCTGGACCACACTGAGCCTTGGTCCCCTGAGGTAGGGGGCGCTAGAGTTGGGAGTAGGTGAGTTGTCCCAGAGGACAAAGTTTCTCCACCAATTCACTTAGGATTATTCCAGGAGAAATGTTTGAAATGTGATAAAGTAAGGGTGGTCACTATTACATCACTTGAGCCTGACATTTAGTTACCATGAAATACAGGGCTTATGGAATTCTGGGATGTCTGTGAGCCAATCTCATGTGTAACATGGTGTGCAAAGTCTATAGCCCTTTTTAAAAAGAAAAAATACAATGTATTAGGTCTGGTGATAAATTTCCTTATATCTGTCCTAGCTTCTCCTACAATGGGGATAGTGTTTAATTTCTTACAAAATATCATTGAAGTGATGTATAATTAATGAAAACTCAGGGTCAGAAATTGGAGTTTAACCTGAATATCCAACAAGCAAAACAGCCAGTCAGTGGCTCTTACCTCGACCTCAGTTTGAAATGGTGATCCTTTCTCCAGGAATCTCAGAATGAGACTGTGTCTGAGAGCTGTCTCCCCCTGTTTTATATTCCTCTCTAGGGCTGTGATTAAATGCATGTACCACTGGGATAAAAGGCATGCACCACCCGATTTCTATGGCAACTAGGGTGGCTATTGGGAATAAAGGTGCACATCATTGTGGGATTAAAGGTGCGTGTTACCATAATCTAGTCTGTAAGGCTGACCAGTGGGACTATTTTACTCTCAGATTTTCAGGCAGACTTTACTTATTAAAATGCAATTGAAATGCTACTACATTTCCCCCTTTTGTCTAAAATAAAAAAGAAGGCTGTAATGAATATAATAAAACTATATACAATAATCACAATGACTATATACAATATATACAGGCAATAAATACATCAACAATGTCTAGTCCATTTGCATTTGACAAATTCAAAGAAAATATTTCATATCTATCCTACCTTGGTGAGTCCAAAGTTGTATACTTTCTATCATAACTTGCTTTCTGTGTCTGGGAAACTGTAACTATAGCTATCTAGTCTTTAACTCCCTCAGAGACTCAAGAAAGAAATAATATTAACTGAGTAAGCAGAAAGTGCCAGCAGACAACTTTCAAAAACTGTGAGTAATGACAGAAATAACTGTCTGTCTGGAAATGACTCCTAGAAATGACTTCATGAATATGACCAGAGAGATAGCATTATCAATAGACATGCTAATACAGAAGGGGGAATCTCCCAGGGTTACAGCTTTAGACAAAGAACTATAGCCTGTATATGAATGATGGAAGAGGGAAGATTAGCCTCTCCTAAGGATGAGGCCCCTATTGGTTATTCAAGACAAAGCAGTCAACTCTGAAACCATATGCACACAAAAATGGACTCAGAGGGTTGTATTATTTGCATATTTGTGAATTCATATATATTTATGAAATAATAATCAAAGGAAAGGAGGACATCAATTTGAGAGGGGACAGAGACATAAGAGGGTATGAGGGGAAGAAAGAGAAGCATGAACATGATCTAATTCTATTTTAATTAATAAATATAAAATTTTTAAAAGGATGAAATCTATATAAAAATACTATCTTGAAGATGCTACTCTCATTAAAGCCTCTTATTGTTCTTTCTTTAACACACACACACACACACACACACACACACCCTTCAAGATAAATCTTTCCTTCTTTAAACACGTCTACAGGAGCAAATCCAGGGCACTGCAAATGTTTCTCCCAGTAAAACCATTCATTCCCCTTTAAAAAGCAGCAGCAGGAGTATCAGCCCACAGCCTCCCCAGCTGCATCATTAGCTGCTCTGTCATTATCCAGCAAGTACATGTTACTAGAAACCTTCTGTCGTAGATTCTGGAGGGATTTGAGATTTAATCTGCACCTGTGCATATTTCAATAAAGCAATCAAACTCAAATTAGACAGTTCCCGGACTCAGATTGAACAGGTAGATGGCTCTTACATTGCGGAATACATTGCCACTCAGCAGTGGAACTTTCTTGAACAACTGTGCCCGCACTTAACCAATGTGCTGTAAATCATATGGCCAAAGAACAGGATGTGAACAAGAGAGATGTGTGGCAGTGCAGCCTGGTGATGACTGCTTGGCATTGGAAGAGAGGCAGTCATAATTCAATGAGCTGTTATGGGATATGATTTCAAGGACCCGAGTTCAAACTCCTATTTGAAACTGAGTAACCTGAGATGATCACTTAACCTCCCTAAGACTTTGTACAAGAAAATTAGTCATAATAGAAATATATATATATATAGGCACATAGCCAGGTATATTAGAACAGAAAGCATAGAAATAAACCCATGCAGATATACAAGTAAGACCTGGTCTTTGAGAAGGGGACAATGGGGAAGTAAACTCTGTCTTTTCAATTGATCACACTGAACAAATAACCCAGCTGTGTATAAAAAGCTAAAAATGAAAATAGATCTTACACTGTACACAGAAATTAACTCATAAAAGGATTACATGGCTATACAGAAAACACAACACTATAAAACATTAAGAAGACAACACAGAAAACTTAAGTGACAGCAAGACTAACATTGAGCCTTACATGATACCACTGGGTTACTATACTTTGCTAAAAGTAGATATTTTCTCAATGAATTACATTATTGGGAGAATGGAAGGAAAATCATAGCTCAAAAGAAAAAGTTTGAAAGCATCTAATATAAGAATTGCAGTCAAACATTTTAGATTCTTCTGCTGAGAGTTCTCTGTTTAGGTCTGTGCTCCATCTTTTTTTATTGGATTATTTGTTCTTCTGATGACCAATTTCTTGAGTTCTTTGAATATTTTGGAGATCAGACCTCTGTCTGATGTAGGGTTTGTGAAGATAGTTTCCCATTCTGTAGGCTGTCATTTTGTCTTGTTGACCATGTCCTTTGCTTTATAGAAGCTTTTTTAGTTTCAGGAGTGATGTAGGAGGGTCATCTGTCTATGTGTTACTTTCATTGGTTAATAAAGAAACTGCCTTGGCTTTTTGATAGGGCAGGATTTATATAGGTGGAGTAGACAGAACAGGGTGCTGGAAGAAAGAAGCAGAGTTAGGCAGACACCATGATTCCCCTTCCCGAGATGGACACTGGCTAGACTCATGCTAGTAAGCCACAACCTCGTGGTGGCATACAAATTATTAGATATGGGCTAGTCAAGATGTGAGAGTTAACCAATAAGAGGCTAGAACTAATGGGCCAGGTAGTGTTTAAATGAATACAGTTTCTGTGTAATTATTTCGGGTAAAGCTAGCCAGGCGGCCAGGAGCCAGGCAGGATGAAAAGCAGCCCACTGCCCCCTTTACACAGGAGGTCCCATTTATTAATTGTTTCTCTCAGTGTCTGCACTACTGAGGTTATATTTAGGAAGCGGTCTCCTCTGTCAATGCGTTCAAGTGTACTTTCCACTTTCTCTTCTGTGAGATTCAGTGTGTCTAGCTTTATGTTGAGGTCTTTGATCCATATGGACTTTAGTTTTGTGCATGGTGATAGATATGGATCTATTTTCATTCTTCTACATGTTGATATCCATTTATGCCAGCACCATTTGTTAAATATGCTTTCTTTTTTTCCATTTGAACAACTGAAAGACACTTAAGGAAATGTTCAACATCCTTAGTCATCAGAGAAATGCTAATCAAAACAACTCTGAGATTCCATCTTACACCTGTAAGAATGGCCAAGATCAAAAACACTGATGACAACTTATGTTGGAGAAGTTGTAGGGTAAAGAGAACACTCCTGCATTGCTGGTGGGAATGCAAGCTGGTATAACCCCTTTGGATGTCAGTGTAACATTTTCTCAGAAAACTAGAAAACAACCTTCTTCAAGACCCAGTAAATACCACTTTGGGGTATATATCCAAATGATGCTCAAATGCGCCACAAGAACATGTCCTCAACTGTGTTCATAGCAGCATTGTTTGTCATAGCCAGAACCTGGAAACAACCTAAATGCCCCTCGACCGAAGAATGGATAAGGAAACGAGGTACATTTATACAATGGAGTACTACACAGCAGATAAAAATAACGACAT